ACTATTATATTGACAGGAGTTGAAGTGTGAACCATGGGATTTTAACTTAATAATGACATTCTGCTCTTCACAATGTTCATTTGAACTGAAGTGAAACAGTTATTTAATAGTCTCTGTCTGTCAGCGAGCCCTTAGGTTTGGTCTGTTGTCCATGTTCATATTTCAGTAATCCTAGTGTGCTTAAAAGTTTTTAAATAGGTCGAAGTTAAACTTTATATTACTAATTATCGTTTGAAAATAAAGCTATTGGTGGACACTAAAGTCGTACTCACAATTGTTCTTGTTATTATAATTTAATTATTTTGTATTTTCAATGCTTCATAAATATCTTTGCAGCTGATGAATCTTACAATTCGTACTGATTATGATTCAATTTGACATAAATCGTATTTCGAAATTTCAAGAAGGGTATTATGTTGATTATAGATATCATATCGTATTACCAATGTGACAATTCAATTTATATATTTCAATATTGCTAAGACAAAAAAAAGAAAGAAATATAACCAAATGATTCTAGAAATTAATTAACATTTTGATAAATTAGAAGAAAATAAAAAATACGAACCATCAACAATACAGAAAAGATCTCACATCCCCCCCAAAAAAGAATAATTAAACATATTCTTATATTTTATAAACTTCTAATTTGTTTGGACAGTCAGTAGATGCTTAATTATATATTCCCATTGTGTTCATTCAATTATTAATTAATTCTTTGTGTATATTGTTAACACGAGTTGAATTATTAATGCTGTATATTGCTTATCAAGGAAACAATTAAAACAACTCAAAATAACAAGTAGTATAATTTCAGTATTTAGAAGAAAGGAACTTGTTTGTTCAATTCATTTTACCTATATTATACAAGTTTCTAATCAACATTATTTTCCTATAGATGAAATGAAAGAAAGACTTGATAGGATACACGTATTTTTATAAAAAGTAACATGTAACTGGAATTATTTTGTATAAAAATTGACTGGTATTTACAGAATATGAAGCTACGCTTTGTAAAATTACGTATGAATATATGGAACTTAACAGTCCATTAACATTTTATCAGTTGGTTTATAACAACACAGATCTTATGAAATGTTTTGAAACGTTTTATTGCCCATTTATTCATTGGAACATAGTTAAAAAAATGTTATTATCAGAAGGGGTTTTGTGGAGATTTTAGTAATTACAATAGTTGAAATCATGAGTCAATTGAAGCTAGACCATCATGGTAAACCTGGAAGCACTGGACGGCCGTTTCCATGATGGTCTAGCTTCAATTGACTCATGATTTCAACTATTAAAAAATCTTATTATCAATACGGAATAATTTACAAGATTTCATTTGATATTTAGTTTATTCACTGAATTTCCATTCTATTACTAGTCGACTGATTGGTAAAATACTAGGAGAACATGCACGACTTTGAGTTTAAAATTATTATGAAATAGAATAAATGCAAAATTAACACTATGGTGGCAAATGTCCTTTATAGAATGATAGTTTACTTATGATTTAATAATTAGTCTGTTACTTTTTTCTGCTGATCTTTTGTTCCGTCGCTAGCTTGTCGTCTACTTTTGGAGACTTGATTTCTCTTACTAAAACTCTTGAGCTATCAGGTAACTGATATTTTATATATGCTAATCATGGTATACTTGTTAACAAACATTTTAATTTGCTTTAATACTTCGCTATCGACACAAGCCTTATGTGAATACACTACTGTAGCGCATTTCAATTTACCGAATAAAAAGGAACTGAAATGAAAGCTCGAGTTTGAAGTGAGATTCTTAATAAGAATTACACCCTTGTATGGAACATTCACTTACTAGATGAATGAAAAAATGTTAAATATTGCGCGTATATTGAACATTGTGAGCCAGAAGTTCTACAAATTCACAGACACTTATCACACCTCAAAATTTTTTTAAGTAAAATAAAATGACAGTCAAGTTAAAAGGAAAGTCCGTTGGAAGAAGTACATTTTCAGACTATCTGGGACCAATTAAGAATAAACAATCTATACCTTGTCTCCATTTAAAATACTATCACGTAACACTGAAAGATCTAAAGCTTTCGTAACTTTGTATAATTTTACTCTTCCAATCATACTGTAGATATCTGTGTCAAAGCTATTACTCGCAAACAGTAGTTTTCTATGTTGACAGACTGATAATTTTATGAAAAGAAGTATAATTAAATGAATAGGAAGTTCATCAATCTCAAAAAAACATTCTCAGTATGTTTTCCTAATTATTTACATCTCTTGTAACAATCTCAACTAGTTAGAACATTGAGTATATGTATATGTAACTGAAAATATTAACTCATCATTGAATCTAACAATATAAGATGCATGGTTAATTCATGCATAATCGAATAACATTTCCGTTTCTCTGTCAATAAAAGGCTAATAAACAAATATTGAAGAAGTTTCAAAGTAGAAATAATGTATTTTTTTCATAGCTTACCTATATCTGATATCGGTTTATCATATAAAATTTTTCGCTCAATAAGAGCATGAAAAAAATTATAAAATAAATAATAATAAACAAAAGTCCTCAATAGCTTAAACTCTAGGGGTTGTGGTTGAAATTCAATTGGGACCTGGTTTTCACCACAGACAAACATCAGCCGGAGAAGTGTTGAAAAACGATAAAGAATGAAATGATATTTCTCCAAAATACTGAATAAATGTCTAATGTTAGTATTAACTTACTATATATCCATGTGACTTCATCTTATAAAATATACCGTAGTATGCAACATATAACTAAAATATTATTTGGCAGAGTTTATAATCAATATATGCTGCTATTTTTGTATCCAAAAGAAAAAGTGTTCAAAGAAGCAATTTTTTGAAGAGTATTTTAATCTTTAAGTGTTGATTATCGTTTATCACAATCATCCTTCATAGAATTGAGTGATCGTTGAGCTACACCATTAACTAGTTAAAGTTGGAGTGTGGACTACAAGAAGACAACATAACGTTTCTGAAGTTTAGACTTCCCACCCCGAGAAAAAAAGAATTGAAGATCCTGGTTACAATACATGCCTTGGTCGTGGAAAAATCAATCTTTGACGAATATCATCTACATAAAACGGCGCTCGACAAAGTGGTGGTAAATATACATCAGAGTTAACATTAAAAAGAGAACCAAGTGATTTAAATAATGAATTCAGTGGGCATTCAAAGTTTATATCGTCTAGAAATTCCGAGTCTTCATAAATTTGTAATTTTGAAGGATCTTACGGATACAATACTCACAGGTTTATGTTCGACATGTGGATACCGAACTGAGGTTAAGTGGAAGTAAACTATTCTTTTGGATTTGGCAATGAGATTAATTTGTGGTTTTGGATGCCGGAGAAGTTAGTGAAAATTTGGAGTAGAATTAGAAGTGCGATTTATTCGAGTCACTGACCAATCGTACCATAAGTTCTATAGTTAGTGGAAACAAAGCGTTTTTTAATGAGTTGTAAATAGGTATAAATGCGATGAGATTTTATAAAAAAGCTCTGAACAGAAAGTATTGACAACTCAGTGTTTATGATCTCTAAAACATTTATCATGCTTTCATGAATAAATTATCTGAATTAATCCACCTATCAATTCTTAATATCAAAATAAATGCGAAAATAAACAAACATAAATGATTTTTCTCATGTGTACATTTGAACGTAAAGAGTATCATGTTTAACTAACTCTAATTTTATTTTAACTAACTGTGAATACTCATAAAATTCGATTCCAGTAGTACCGGTCAGAACATTTAATAAATATACTTAATTTGTGAGATATCATGAGCACAGATTACTGTGATGCCATCGCCGAATGAATATTTTCCTGTATTTTTTCTGTTACAAAGTAATGGCTAGCAAAACCATCCTCTAACTTAAATACTATTAACCGATGAAATACAAACCCATGATTGCATTTCTAAAAAATATCTCGAGAAGTGAAGAAATTGCTACTAGTTTCATGTAGTTTATTCCAACTTATGAGACCTATATTTGTTCAACACCAAGGTAGTGAAGAGAAAAATCCCGGCACATCAACTTTATCTAAATAATCACTTACATTATTCAACTATTACTAGACAAAATAACTGATGGAGTTCCACATTCAGCTTCCATAGGATTAATTTCTATTTTGTATAAGTATATTCCTTAAGACAAATAGTGTCCAGATCGAAGTAAGAGATTTATGCTTAAATGTTATTCTTTCAAGCAATTTTAATATGTGGTCTGGTGAGTTAGTATTTCCACAATCTCTAAATTATTAGCTTTTGATTGTTTGAAAAGGCTCGTCACACAATTTTTAATTGATCATATTATCGGGTTATTGTTGTAGTCTGTTATATCACTAATCATATATTTATTATATTCTTTATAATTACTGATTAGCACCAAAATAAACCATCAGAAACTTATTTGAAGGAAACGAAATGGCGTTCTTCAATTATTCACTAATTGTATTCTTAAATGCATTTTTTGAATTGTAGAGTATTTATTTCAGTTTACTGTAAGGCGCGACATTTGATATTTATGATATATTAAAGATTCCCATTGTGAAAATTAGAACAACACATATAAGCGAACAATTGTTTTCAATTAGATCATCATCAGGCTTTACTCTAATATACAGTAATATTTAAACGAAAATGTTAAACCAATCAAGGCAATTTTGGGTCAGTAATTATAATGAAATGGGATAAGTCATCACACATAATAGATAAAAGTACAAGTTGATAGTAGGAAGACAGGTGTACTGATAGTAGGTAAGACTAATAAAATACGATAACAAAAGTCTTATCAATAGTTAAACATTGGAAATAGTAGGTCAAACATGGGTAAATGGAGTAGTTATCACAAAACATTAAAATCATTACGTAATAAGAAGTGTGTAAATAATTAGATAGTGAAGAATGCAAACGGAAAGAGGCGGATAATTCCAAACAAATAATGGATGTGTAAATAAGGTTAATAATAGAATAATAATGATAATAATAATAATAAAAGAAAAATAAAGAAAAGAAAAATAAAGAAAAGAAAAATGAAGAAATAAAAATTAATCGTTAGTTAAGTGATAACTGGCTATGGAAGGGATAGGGGAGTTACAAATTTCTTCTGTACACATAGATTGGGGTTATATGTACGGATTCTCCCATTTTCGAACATGTACGGATTCCTATGGCTTCAGCTATATGTAGGAGACGGGAACGAACTCCATTGGGAAATGATGGCGGTACACGATAGATCATTCGAAATGATTTCGATTTATCTACCGCATGACCACTATCAATAAGATGTGCCAGGATTGAACTGCGTACTGTTTTTATCTGGCCGTTTATGAACCAAGTTGGTAGATGTTCACTCATTCGTTGGCTAAGTTGTCTGGTTGTACGCCCGACATAGCTATCTCCACAGGAGCAGCTGAATTTGTAGATGCACATTGATGACTTATCCCATTTCATTATAATTACTGACCCAAAATTGCCTTGATTGGTTTAACATTTTCGTTTAAATATTACTGTATATTAGAGTAAAGCCTGATGATGATCTAATTGAAAACAATTGTTCGCTTATATGTGTTGTTCCAATTTATGATATAGATTGGAAATATTTGTTATTATCTGATCGAAATTTCGTCTGATCGGCAGTCAACATCTAATCTTTCAAAGTATACTTTATTATTGCATCCAAACTTTTTTGAACTAGATTTGTTCACTAACAACTAGGTAAATGAGAAATAAGTAACATCATTTTTAGTCATTAACAATAAAAAAAATGAAATTGGTCATTATATATATTTACGAGATAAGCTAAAACATTTTTAATCGCTTTCTCTCTTTAAGTGGACCAATGTAAATCATAACCGGACAAAGTAAACAATTTATTCTTAGATGGATTCAGTCAGATTGTTATTCATTATGACTGCTTTTGTATATAACAAAAATAATTTGTTTACAAGTATGCTTATATGAAGTACGCTAATTGATTGAATTTTCAATGTTTTCATCAACACAAATTAGTTTGTTAGTTGCTCTTAAGTTTTAACTTTACAGTTATAACTGGCTGCTCAATAGGAATATATATATATATATATATATATATATATATATATATATATATATATATATATATATATAATTCACTTTACAAAAGATATTAAATCAAATAAATTATCTCTTTAAAAGATAGTTTATATTGAAGACATTTCCGTATCGTTTTATAAGGAAACGCTACTAAATCGATGTTAGTTTATTTCTATTTTATAAGAATCTAAGCGTTTCAGTGTAGCTATCGTTTTAATTGCAAATTAGGCAATATTTAATGTTTATTTTTATTACCATATCTATTACTGGTTTACAATACAAATAAAACAAATGTAAAAATATAATTTACTTAATCTCATACTTATGTGGAGTTATTCCATTTTAGCATGTAAATTTAAATAAATGCCAAATGACTTATTCTATTCTAACAACGAAACGCGATAACTACTATGGACTTGTTCTATGTCCTCGAGTCAGCTGAATGCTTGAAACTAAATCAGGTTAGGTCGTTATAACTATATTTATCTATATAATATTTGATTTTCCATCCATTTCACACAGTATTCATTATCTCTTATAATTAATGAATTTATCTGAAAGTTAGTTCTGATCACGAAGGATCATCAGGGAGCCAATATCAATCCGTGATAAAACAGAAATTCAAGCTGAGTACCAGTTATAATCTTACTTTTATAACACTAAACATGTACTCGTTTGCACATTTGCTCATTGTTATTGCTGAAGTTCACTTAATCCTGTTATTTCGTTTCTGGTGTTCATAGCGCTGTAATAGAATGATATTTTTTCTACTTTGACAAATTGATTCTCTTGGCTGGGATATAATTACTAAATAACAATGTGATGTATTGAATACTTTTACACTAATAAATAAAGAAGTCAAGTAATTTATTTCTTACACAATACTAGGCACAAGAAAATGCTCAAATATTTTCTGGATTCTTAGATTTTACTGCTAGAAGTTTCATTTTATAAGCATTTCGTTATTATCCTAATAATTATTTTCATAATTCTTAGGAGTGACCAAATAGGTAACTCCGTGTCTCTTTACATTTCCATTTGAAGCAGTCTGATTTACTGGCATTATAATGTTTATAAGTGCATAGATTTATTGATTAAATAGTTACACGTACCGTTGAGACCACTGTATTCATTTGATTAAATGAGCAGTCATATACAATTTCGGTATCTACATTTACTGGATCTATTGCTGATACACAGTAAAGCCTTCTTCTGAAGTCCTACCTACTTCTTTCTGTCGATCCGTGTCAATCTTTGTCCTATCATAACAAGTAGAAAGTTCCAGTTTTCCTCAGTTATAGCAATTGGCTACGTCGGTGTTTTTGTTCAATGACAGCAATAATTAAATACACTTATAAGTGAATAACGCTGTTTGATCGATGTGCTGGCAAGCGCACGCTTTTGTGCAACAGAAAATTTAAAAGATGAATGAGTATAATACGGTTTTATGTTGAATGAAATAAAATAATTCATCAGTTATAAAAGCTCGATACAATTATTGAAATATTTGGATTTGCACTTAATTTGTTACTGATAGTGACGAAACGGCAGTTCAGTACTTCCAAGTTTTCCATGATCGTCTGATTTTAATTGACTCATGAATTCGACTGTTAAAATTACTACAATCTCCACAAATCTCCTTTCTGATAAGCTCATCTAATAAATGATTGAGGAGACATTTTATAAGATACTAATCGCGGCAAGGGTTTACTTTTTACTAAAAGAATTTCATAAATATTATTAACTGAAAATCAATATTTTCAGTTCCCAAAAAATTATCTATTATTAATAATAATCAATGAACTTCAACAAAATGCGCACAAAGATTTCTATGATAATAAAAATAAAATTTTAAAATGAAAGCATTGAGGATAATCTTATGAAGATTATTTATAATGTAAGAATTTCACAATCTCGAGCATTACTAGTATCTTAAAGGTCTGACAGTTGGAGAAAAGATTGAATAGTTCGATGTTTGTCTCTTTTTACAGTTTAATAAAACAAAAGCTCGTTTAATAGTTATACAGACAGTAAAACGATTTTCACCGCTTTCGAAATAAGTTTTAATTGAATAAAGATTATTTACTTTGCATCTAAAATGAGTAACATACAATTGAAGATTAAAACCTATTTTTCATCAATTAAATGTTAACAACAGTTTAAAAATCCCCATAGAATATTCAAAAATGAAGAATATTTGAGCGAACAATTGCTTTCAATAACTTCATCATCAGGCTCTACAGTTATAAGTCCATAATTATTGTGATATTTTACAAAGGCCAAAAATAAGACATGTATTAATGAAATTTGACAATGTTATGTGTTAAAAAATTGGTGCACTTTTGCATCTGTTACGATATATATATATATATATATATATATATATATATATATATATATATATATATATATATATATATATATATATATATATATATATATATATATATACTTCAAAATGGTATTATTTGCAAATGAGAAAGGTCATTCAATAAAGGTCAAGATGATTTGGAGTAAAGTGTTCAATCACAATAAGTAGAATAGTATCATAGCAAAATCGAAAATGTAAAATCAAAATTGCGTGAATAGAATGCATAGTAAGAGAATTTCATCTTGTCAATTGAGATAATAATAATAATAAGATTGTGGTGTGAATATAATATGTAATAAGGGGGTAGGGGGTGTTATCAAGGTAACTACGATCAACGAATTCGGAATGATAGATGTGAAGATTATGATAGGGATAATAAAAAATAATGATAATAAGGAAAATAAATAAAATTAGAGGAAGGGGAGTAAGAGGTTTAAAATATTCAGACTAGGTATTCGGTGATCCAATCGTAGGCCGAGGTAAACATAGAGCCTCTATATACGTTTTCTGGATACATAAGTTTGGTTTTCTGAGGTTGATCCAGATGGCTTCGGCTATGTAAAGTAGCCGTAATTTAGCTCCTTGAGGTAGATATTTTGGAACTTGATATAAAACAGAGAAAGCTTCCTCTATTTTGATATGATGTTCATTATCTACCAAGTGTGAAAGAATAGCACTGTTAATCGATTTAGTAACTCCTTTTCCCAACCATGCCGGCACATGTTCACGAACACGCAAGGATAAAGCCCTCTGAGTACGGCCTATGTAACTAGCTCCACAGGAGCAGTTGAATTGGTATACACACATGGAGGAGCCCATCTTCGGTAACCTATCCTTGATTAGTTGTGTGAGTACTGGTTTAGTCAAGAAGATTATGTGTAACTTGGCGGCATGAAACGTCCTTTCGACCGATCTTTTGAGTCGACATGTTAGAATATCACCCGCTATATCCCCTTTAAAGTCAAGTCTCAGATACAAGGTCTTTTTGCTGACTGTTTCACAATGTTTTCTTTTTTTATTACTTTGTACGAGGTATTTTTTGACGAAATTATCAGGATAGCCATTATATCGTAATGTATTCTTTAATATATCTATTTCGTCATATACACTGTCTTCAGAACATAATAACTTGATTCTGTGGTTGAGACACTTAACCAAATTTATTTTATATTGAAGAGGTGTGAAGCTTTGGAAATGGGTATACTGACCCGTCCATGTACTCTTTCTAAATATATTTCGCTTTATGGAACCATCTATCCTTCTAGAAAGTAGGACATCCAGAAAAGATATACCATTGTCTTTCTCCTCCTCGCTGGTGAACTTAATGGCTGGGTGGACATTATTGAAATCGTAAAATATTATAATTACGGACTTATAACTGTAGAGCCTGATGATGAAGTTATTGAAAACAATTGTTCGCTCAAATATTCTTCATTTTTAAATGTTAACAAGTTGAATAAACAATAATTTCATGTCTGCGGAAAATACCGACGAGAAACGTATTACGGATAAGCTAAATTTTACACGTGACCATCGATCGATTTTTGTGTTGCTGTGAAAATACACGTTTATATATTGATTCTGCTGAAAATATTCTTTTCCCAGAATTAAAATTATGAATTTCCAGTTAAATATATAATACAACTTAAAACACAACTTACAGTTTGTTCAATAATAACATCATATATATTTTTCAAACATTATATTTCTATCTTCAAATATGCATATATAATTATATCATACCAAACACTGAATTACATTTTGTAAAACATATATGGAAAGAATAGCATTAAAAACGATTGTTCTTCTTATGCTAATGAGTATGAACTGACAAGAGAGAGACAGGAAAACGTCTATTTATCAAAATGATTAATTCTATGTTTCATTTATTCTGAATGTTACAGTCTGTTTTATGAATACATTATGCATATATATATGATAAATTGATAATATATGGCAGAGCAGTTGATTACTGAACTGCTCACTTTATTATGTCTATTTAACTGACAAGAACTACATATGTTTGCTTAAACTGTATTTTTACAAACGAATGTAAATGGATATTTAGCTTTTTAAAGAAAATATGGTGGACAATGATTTTTATTTTAGTTTCTATGTTGACTGAAATGAACACATATTTATCAAACAGGTTATCTAAATAAAATTAGGAATCTGCACTTGAAATGTGTGCTGAAAATAGTCGCATAATGGTTTCATT